GGGGCAGGGGCTGATTTTGTGATGCTGGGTGGCATGCTGGCTGGACACAGTGAGTCAGGCGGTGAGCTCATTGAAAGGGATGGCAAGAAGTACAAGCTTTTCTATGGAATGAGTTCTGAAATGGCCATGAAGAAGTATGCTGGTGGTGTGGCTGAGTACAGGTATATACAGACGCCCAGCAACTGAATGTTCTTAGAGAATGTGTCTATGGAGTATGGTCTCAGAACTCATGACTTCTAGGAGAATATGGTCCAATTCTAGGAGGAAATGGTGAAATGGGGCTAAATGTTAGAGTGGAAGGGTCATTGGGCTTAAGGAAGTCAGAACAAAAAAGTAATAATGTTTTTCTTATTTCAAGGGCTTCAGAGGGAAAGATTGTGGAAGTTCCTTTTAAAGGGGATGTAGAAAATACCATCCGTGATATCCTAGGCGGAATCCGGTCTACATGTACTTATGTGGGAGCAGCCAAGTTGAAAGAGTTGAGCCGGAGAACTACCTTCATCCGAGTCACCCAGCAAATGAATCCCATCTTTGGTGATACAAGCTAGATCTGAGCAGCTCTGCCCACTGCAGGATTGGCACTCCACTGCAGGGCAACCCAACTGGTTTGTTGCTGTTCCCAGCTACTCTGTTCAACGTATGACTTTGTGACATCACCTCACTCTTGAGGGCTCCTGCAGTAACTAGTTCTTTTATCTGCACACAAAATGCCAAGGGTACTACTCACTGGGGCAGAAGCTAGGAAGAGGACAGAATGAGGAAATGAGGAACTTTGAAGTCTTAATCACCTGGAAGCAGTAAAAAAAAAAAAAAATGACCAGTATTCTATTTACATGGGAACCTGGGGATCCAGAATCCTGAAGATTAAAAGATACTGATTTGATGTGGGTTTTATATGGCCTTCATCTGCAAGAAGCAAGCTTTTACAATCACGTTTTATTAATTAGTCTCATTAAATGACATCCTTGGGTGTCTGAAGCTCAAAACTGTTGATATATTAAAACACTTCAATAAAGAAAGCGCTCATAGACTTGAAGACATGGTGGGTCTCTGCACAGTGCTTGTAGAATGGGCAGAGTTAGGATCAGCAGGATCAAGTGTAACGCTTTCCATGGGAGGAAAAAGGCAGAGAGGTTCCTTCAGTTCTAGCGGGGCCAGTTCTAAAGAACTACTTCTATTGACCCATAGAACCTTAAATTACCTTTTCTCACAAGATTGTGACATCCAAAATTTAATTATCAAGCATTATACTGCTTTCGGCTGTGGAATGTAGTGTGCTTGCCTACCATGCATAAGTCCCTGAGTGTTACCACCACCACCAAAAAAAAAAAAAGCATTATTGCTTTAAGCAATGTGTTCAGATAATCTATGGCTGGGCTTTCACTTCATTCCCATTAAGCTTCCCACAAACAGGTGGGCAGAGTGCAGAGGGCATTGCAGTATACTATCACAGGGGTCTATAGTGCCTGTGCAGTCACGGGAAGGAGCAGGCAGGGCCCTGGAGCCACAGGTGGGGAGGTATTCATGGAAAGTAGGGATCAGGGTGTCATTCTTTGTTTTCTGATAGTTTCCCAGAGACTCCTGTTGAGAAGGAGCAGCAGGGGTCCTAACATTGGAAATGATTTCTGGAGATCTTATTCTGGAGCCTGTGGACGTCTCAGTCTTGTTCTGCTCATCCTTCTTCCCAGCTTTCTGCTCCTTCCTAATCACCTTTCCTTCTCTCTGGCTATCTTCTTCCTCCCTAGAGACCAAAATCAAGTCCCCTATGGTGATGACCGAGCCAATCATAGGTGGAGAACATGCTGCAGGAGGAAACCAGAATCAAATTTCTTTCACCACTGAAAGAAACTCTCTGTTCCAATCCTGACCCAGCCCACCCTCCTGGCTTCTTGGCCTTTGGAGGTGATAAGGGTAGCTTCAGGGGGTCAATGTAGTAATTCTAGCAATTCCTGAAATAGAAGCAAGTAAAGGGCAGGATAAAGGGAAAGAAGGCAAAGAATGTGCTCCTAGCAGGAAGAAGCAACCCCTTCACTCTGTTTGCTCTGAGGCAGACAAGGCAGATCTCTTCCAGAGCCGTATGCCCCAGGATCTGAGGTGGGCTCGACTTGCCAGTGAAGGCTGCTTTTGCACCCACACCTCCGCTGTGTGTATCCCACACTCTTCCCTGCTCTCAGGCTGAGCTATGACTTGGCTTGGTGGGTCTAGATTCCTAAAAGGTAACAGCATAACTGTGGAGCACTCTTTAGAACTGCCCCTTGCAGATGCCCACCGGGATTGGAATCTTCGCCGGCCTAGAGGGGCCAGATTGAAGTAGTGGCCAGCAAAAGATTCAGGATGCTTCCTTGAAGCTGGTCTTCCAGGGCTGGGCTTGGCTTTTGGCAGAGGACTGTGGTGGAGAGTTGGTCTTAATTGCCTAGGAGGATTCTGTCCCATGGGTTTGGTCAGGTTCACTGAATCAGAAACAAAGTGCTCTGAAAGAAAGCAATGGGACCCCTTATAAGTAGAACAGATGCTCCCTCAGGCCCACATAACTTCCAATGGGTCAACTCAAAAGTCAAGCTAAACACTATACCCCTAAATCACTACTTTCCCAGATGCTTCTGTACCTGGAAGGGGCCACCCCATGTCCGCAGCATATTGGTCCAAGACAAGAGAAGAGGAGACAGAAACTCCAGGCTGCATCCAACTCAAGACATCCTGAAGCTGCGGGCAGGAAGAGCTATGAAGACCACAGTTTTGATACAATCACCCCACGCTCTGCCCTGGTGCTGTACCCCAACAAAACCTGCTGTGCCTGTACTGCAGGCAGTGGTCTCTCTAGCTGACACAAGTATTCAAAAAACAGCTTTTCCACAGCAGCCATGAAGGGTTCCCCATACTCTTCTAGCTCCTGCTGAGCAGAAAAAGCAGCAGGTCAGAAGAGGATGAAAACAGCTCCCTATCGGCCTTCACAACGGCTAGTCTCACCTGCAGCTTTGAGGCCAAATACAGAGAGGCCTCTGACAGCTGCTTCACCTGCTGGCGAAAGGTTTCCCGTGCCTCCAAAATTTTCCTCAGATCCCGCTTTGTCTGTTGAGGAAGGATATGGAAGGCAGAAACTTTGGAGACACCAGGATTTAGTAGTCTGGAGAAGGGGCAACTTTGGTGCACTAAGCATGGTGTCAGGGCTTGTTCCAGGGATTACTCACAGCTTTAGGGTCAGGCGGCACAGCTCCAGATTCCGGGAAGTGGTGATCCAAGGCACTCAGACCCTGGGCCCAAGGCCAGCCTTGCATGATCATCTCCACCACTATCTGCACGGTTCTGAGCTCAGAATCCCCCTTCGGACCTGCTACCCTTTACGATTAGTCTCACCCCCAACCTGATGGCCCTCCACAGGTCCTCGCAACGTTCCTCTTTCTGAGTCCTCCTCGATCCAATACCTTGGCGTGTAGGCCCACACACAAGCGCTCGTGGTGCCGGTAGCGAACCAAGCCGGAAGCGGCAGCGCACCGGGAGCGCAGAAACTGGAGGACTCGAAGGAAAAGCTCCACGCAGCGTCATCGCACAGCTCACCAGCTGGCTGCGCCGGCGACGAGTTAAGAGGCGGGACCGGCCCCCTTGCAGGTGGCCAGGTTGGGCGGCTACGCCCCGGGTAGGTCTTTTCCCTAGGAAGGCCTCCTTAGGGACGCGGCTTCCGGCACTCCTGCGGGAGTCGAGTCATTTGGTCTGCCACGGCCACTTTGCGATCTCCCTCTGCTATTTCGGTAGCCCAAAAACGTTATGGAGTCTCCTTTTTTCTCGCCGTGGACCCTTAATTCACAAACAGGCAGTCTACCAAACGCCGCAGCTATTTGGAGCGGAAGAGACCTCACTTCCAGTTCTGACTTCTCGCTTTGAAAATTGCGGGAGAAGATAACCAATAGGCGACCAGACAGACGTGCGTCGTGATGTCATAATATCGCGCCTGGTGGTGATGTCATAATATCGCGCCTGGCCCCGCCTCCGCGGCTCTTCGCCCTGCCTATTTGCGCTAGTGGCCTCCGCTTCGAGTGGCGGCGGTCTTTCTTCCGACTTTTACGGCCTCTGCTATTCTTCTCGAGACCTGTGGAGAGAAGTCAGGCCATTCTCGAGGTCTGACATCGTGATCCGTGAAGTGAAAATTACGCTACCTGGTTTTTCCGTCGTCTACTCTGTTGGCGTTAGGTTCCTTAGATCTGAAGCTTTCTCCTGGATCGCGCGCGCCATTTTGGTAAGAACTAGACGTTTTCTTTCTTTCAACAGAATGAATTGTTCACCTTTAAAAAATAGAATACAGGGGCCGGGGAGATTGCTCAGTAGAATAAGTGCTTGCCTGGAAAGCACAAGGGCCTGAGTTCAATCCCCGGTTCCGAAAAAACAAATAAATAAATAAATAAAATACAGGGCTGGGGTGATGCTTAATGGCACAGTGCTTGCTTAGCAGAAGAGAAACCACGGTTTTCATCCCCAGCGTTGCGAAGGAATGAAGGAATATGGAAGTTAAGTAAATTAAAAACAACATTTGGAGCATGACGTGCTCTGTTCGCCTGTAATCTCACCTATCCTGAAAGCTGAGGCAGGATTATCTCAAGGTAAAATAGCCTGGCAAGTAGAGAAACCTTTCAAAATTAAAAAAAAAAAAGGTTTTTTTTATTACTGGGAATGGCATTTAGAGCCTTAAGGTTCTGGGCGAGCGCTTTACTGCAGGGCCACACCCCTGCTAAAACCAGAAAAAAGGCTTGGGAGATTTCTTGGTGGTAGATCGCTGGATTGAATCCCTAGTATTAAAGAAAAAAAGTTTGGAAAGGACATCATTTGTTGGGCTGGTTTTTTTTTTCCCCTGGATGGTAAGAATATGAATAGTTCTGTTGTGTTTTTCTGTGTTGCACCTCTCTCGTCTCATGCAGTTTTTTGTTGTTGTTGTTGTTGTTTTGCAGTACCAGGGATTGAACTCAGGACCCTGTGCTTGCCAAGCAGGCTTTTATTTTATTGAGCTATCTCCCCGGCCTGTCTCATGTAATTTTAATTTACATTTCACCAGGGGTGTTGGCGCTCATGTATGTTCCCCATACTGAGGCGGCTGAACCAGGAGGATGCAAAATTAAGAGCAGAGCTGAGCCACTTTCAGATACCCTGGTCTGAAAATAAAATAATCAGAAGGGCTGGGAATGTAGTTCAGCGGGAAGACTCTGAGTTTCAATCCCCAGTACTGCATAAATAAGTACATAACAATTTTAAAAATAATTTACTTTTCCCAAATGTTCGTTGTGCATACAACTAAGCAAACTGAACTTAACTGTTACTAATATTTTCTTGTCATCCTTTCTAGTGCCTGCCTCAGAGTCCCACCACCAACCTCGGAACCTGGCATGCATAGAATACTTGGTTGACTGAGTTTATTAATCTGCTTTGACACCTTGTAAAGACTTAGTGAAACTGCTAAGTCTTTTGGGCCTTTTCTTCCAATATTGGATTTACTGGCTCACGTTGTTTAGAAGACTGCATCAGTCTTCTAAAAGGATCCACACGTTCAGTGTTTGTTCTGCTGAATTGAGCATAGCCTCCACATATTTAATTGGCCATGGGACAGGTAGTCCAAGAGTACCACAAATTGGACACATGTGAAATTATAGTCATCGCACATTTTTTCATTCACTTATTGTATCTCTGGTTTTCTGCTTTTTTTTATGTAGATTAAATTGTGACCTGTATCATTTTCATTCTTTCCAGAGGGTCTTCAAATATGTCTTGTAAGGCAAGTCTGCCGATCACAAATTCCATCAGTTTTTGTTTAAGTCATTTCTGCTTTCTCTTTGAAAGATCATTTTGCTTCCGAATCCAAGACTTCAACTTTTTTTTTTTTTTTTTTTT